CGTGCTTTGCATAGAGTTCAGAGGAAAACCCAGATTCAGTGATTAACAATGCCAAAAATTGCAAGTATCTAGCCATTGTTCAAATAAAGAGGTACTATTTCTGTTTTTTTGGCCTTTTAGACTTTTATTGGGAAACCATTTTCTACCTGGTCACTCTCGATGATGGTGTTTTCTTTTTTCTACTTTAAACAGTTTCTAAATAAAATTCTGTATTTCAAGAATGAAAATAAAATTAAAAAAAAAAAAAGGAAACTACTACTTACCAATCTGGGCTGGTCTGCCTTGCTTGGTCTCTTCCTGCCCTCCTGGGTGAGTTGGGGGTGTTGCAATTTCAGATTTCACCTGGGGGAATTCCCAAGGTTGCAAGCCAATGGGCATGCTGAGATTATGTAAATAAATGCAATGAAGTTTCAAATGAGCTGTTTCTTAAAAAAAATTTTAGATTTTGTTGCTGCTTCATAGAATTATAAATTATATAATATTATAAATTGTCTTCTTTTTTATATACCCAATTTCCGAAGGCTTGTTTCTTCCTTTTGGTCAGAGAAAACTTTCTAGGTACTTGAGGCAGACTTAGCTAAAAAATGGAGCATGAGAACGATTTCTCTTTTACATCTTATTTACCAAGTGCTTTAAAAAATCTGATTTTTTAAAAAATCAGATTTGGTAGAAGCATGGCTTTACTTAATCTGTGCATTACTTAATCTCCTTTAAAAAAATAGAATATTTTTTTTTGTAAAAGCAGTTTTAGATTTACAGAAAAATTGTGCAGAAAGTACAATCCCCGTCATCACCTCCTGCCTTCCTCCTCTGGTTTCCCCTATTATAAATACCTTACATTACTGTGGTGCATTCATTACAATTGGTGAGCCAAATACCGATGCATTATTATTAATCAAAGTCCATATTTACATTAGGATTCACTCTTGTGAATTTTATGAGTTTCGATAAAAATATAATGGCATGTATCCACCTGTATGTATCACACAGGATAGTTTCAGTGCCCTAAAAGTCTTTTGTGCTCTGCCTGTTCATCTGTCCCCGACCCCAACCCCTGGCAACCATTGATCTTTTTACTCTCTCCATAATTTTGCCTTTTCCAGAATGTCATATAGTTGGAATCATACAGTATATAGCCTTTCACATTGGCTTCTTTCACTTAGCAATATGCATTTATGATTCCCTTAAAGCTTGATGGTTCATTTCATCTTATTCCTGAATGCTATGCCATTGTATAGATATACCACAGTTTGTTTATCCATTCGTCTATTAAGGACATCTTGGTTGCTTCCAGCTTTTGACAATTATGGATAAAGCTGTTATAAATATTCATGTGTAGTTTTTTGTGGACATACGTTTTCAGCTCACTTGGGTAAATACCAAAGGGAGCAACCGTCCTTTTTCAATAAACCTTTTACATGTGATCTTCATATCTTGATAAATTATAATTTGCCCTTCGTGGCTAGTTCCTATGTCTGTGCCTCTTAATTTCTTTCCCTTAGCACCACCGCAGTTTCTCCCACATAAGAATCACAGAAATGCCAGACACATGTCAACAAGTTTCTCTCTGAAAAACAAGAGTTTTAAAATCTCGTAGGAACTGCCCTGATATAGTTGATATTCACTGATAAAAGTGGCTTATGAAATAGCCTGTGTACTGTTTCTGCAGGTGGATGTTTAGTGCTAATAGTTATTCCTACAAAAATACACTGCCTTGTCACTTCTGGTTCCTGCAGTCATCCCCATATGTGTAGTATAAAGTTGTTGTTTTTTTTTTTCAATTATGCCTCAGCCTGTTTATTCTGATCAAAACTACCATTGAACAAAGAGAGAATAATGACTTCAGAGTTCATATTCTCCATAAATGTGTGAGATAGTGGGAAATTTATCAGTCTCTCTGACCCTCAGTGTCCTGTAAAATGGGCAATAATATCCACTTGTGGGGCGTGTTGATGGTTGGAGGTGATATGAATAGAGCCTGGCACATTGTGGGCAATCCGCTAATGGTGTGGGGTGATGACTAATGACAGCTGTGTGGACAGCACCCAGGAGCATTAGGTGCTTAGTGCTTCCAAAGAGAAATTTTATCTGAAAAGTAAGAATGGAGACCAGCACCCATAAACATGTCTCCCCTAAAAGCTTCCCTTCTGTTGATGTCCACTCACACTTAAAAGCATTCAGAGCTGTCTCCTTACCATTAATGTCTAAATCTCTTAGACCTGCCAGCAGGGTTTTCTCCCATCAAGCTGTGTCTCCTCAGGACCTGAGGATCTCATAAATAAGCATTTTTTTCTTTGTACATTTCTGTTTCACATCCTATTGTCAGCATAGCCTTTCTCTTTCTCCATGCCTATGTGAGGCTTCTTAATTATTACACAAAGCATTGCTGCCTGCTCCAGTCCGCAGTTTGTTGCAGTTTCTCCTTCTTTTCTGACACAACCCGGAATACTTAGTGACTGGCCACTCATTAGCTCATACTCATAAACTATTTGTTTTTGTCGTTAGTCAACTTAAGCAAGCTTTTGAACTTAGGGGGCCATAACTTATATTTCTTGTACTGCATACAGTGTCCCATCACACGTAGCTGTTTAATTAATCAATGAATTCGTTAATTTGACTCAATTACAGAAATGAAAAGGTATTTGGCAGCTCAAACCCATAAAGCAATAATAGATTTTTGAGCAACTTTAAAGTAAAGAGGACATTCATTTGCCCAGGACAGATTCATCTGAAAGTAAGAATATGGACTTAAGATATCTCTGCAAGTCCTTTCTAGATGGATGACTCTGACCTATGATTTTGCTATCCGGGCAATCTGGATCGTCTGTGGATTAGCTGGGATTGGTCTTTTATATCACTGGTCTTGACATCTACCACAGCCATGCTCAGCCCATCATCTCTTAAGGGGCTTATACTCAACATGAATGATAACATTAGCCCAGGTGACATGTAATTAAGAAAGTGGCCTTTTTACCACAAAAAATTACAGGAGAGATTCCAGATCCAAAAAGAATATGGTTGTGGATTATTTTATGTCTGGGTTCCAGTCATTCTCCTCGTTCCTCTCCACAAGCACAGCTCGATGCTTGACTGTCCTCTAAGCCCCGGCTATTGCTGTCACCTGTGACACTGGTAATGCTTTTTGCTGACAAGGAACCTTATTAACAAGGTTAGAAACTTAGTGCAGGTTATTTGTAGGACACTCATTCTGAGACTTGAGTCTGAGTGAGTCCAGAAAGTCATGGAATATTCCATGTGTCCCCCCCCCCACCCCCAAACACACACACATGATTTCTGCTGCCCCAGGGTCTGTTTCTCCTATAAGTGATTGAAAAGTACCTGGCAGAAGCCGGCTGAAATCAGAGAAATCCTGACTTTAGCTGTTTCAGAAAAGCGACCCAGTAGTTGAGGAATGATGAGGACAGAATTAAATATGAGTAAAAGGCTTGGAGCTGTTCCTGTTCTCCTCCCTAATGGGTGTTCACTGGTGCAACTGTTATTTTTGCGACTATCGCTTTAATCTACATTTTGACGAGCACTTGGAACACTACCTCTGGGCAACTTAAATGAAAGATTGTTTTCCAGGATGAAGTAAACTGGCAGAAATTTCCATTGTTCATCAGATCTGGTGTAAACGGTTTGCCTAAGCCAGATAGATATTTTGGGGCCTTGGGTGCACTGAAGAAATAACTGCGGTCGCTCCAAGTAGAAAGTGGTCAAGGAGACAATGAATCGATACCTCGTGCTTTTATTTCTATCACTGTGTGAAAACATAGCCTAAATTGTTTGGTTAGGAAGAGCAGTCAGCTCTGCTGGATTTCCAACGCTTTCCAGATTTTGCACTATTACCTTATTTTTTCCAACACGGCTCTATAATAACAATCCACTCTTTTCTCTGCACTCCTGGCCCCTGGCGATGTTTTATTATGGTCATGCTGAAAGAAAAGGTGTCTGTGCATACCGTATCTCTTCATTTGGCTCCAGGGATTTCCCTTTGATTTGGAAAGAATAATTTTTCAAATTCCGCTATAAAATATGCAGGAGAGAGAGAGAGAGAGAGAGAGAGAGAGAGAGAAAGATTAAGCTCCAGGAATGTGCACTGGTGTTGACATTTTGTTCATATAATGAACTGAAGGTAAATTTTCCTTAGTATTGCTCAAGTTAATGATCAATTACTAGAAGTCTGAATTATCAGCCATGTTGTTCACCATCAATTTATATGACGTAGTCTAACTGTCTCCATTCTTCAAGATATTAAAACATAGCTAATATTCAGCAGGTACCTCCAAGACACCAGAAGCAGCTCCACAGCCCCCTAATCGCTCTCTCCCTGGATCTGCCCGGAATATTTATGGTGAGTAGCCAGTTATCTCTTCTTTGGCAGCCGGCCCTGCTTTCCTGTAGTGTGGAATTGCCTGCATTTGAATTTGCAAACAGAGGCTCGCTCAAGTGTCACTAAAGGAAGAGGAGGTGGAGCCAAAAGGGCTTTGAAAAGGAAAGAGGAGTCATTCTACTTTTCAAAAAGAGAAACTGTGTTTGGGGAGGAATCATATCTCCACATTTCTTCCTTCAGCTTCATCAAGGGTTGTGGTTGGAACTTTCCATCAGTTCTTTCCTTTTTTTCTCTCTCTCTCTCTCTAGCCTTTGCCCGCTGCTCTGCCTGTCACAGTGAAATCAGCTTCAGGCCTCCAGCGTGTGGCTGTTAAACTGCGAAATTTGTCATAAGGGTGTCAGGTATTTCTTACCGGCTTCCCAAAAACTTAGATAAAGAAATCTTTCCCAGCGTATCCCTTTCAGGCTACATTTGGACACTGTCTTGAGTTGAAGCAGAAGGAGTTGGGGGGTGGGGTGGCAACAGCGAAAGAGCAGAGGGAAAGATGCCCCAGGGCTGCAGGCCCAGCCGGGTGAGCACGCCTGAGGTCAGACATACCCACCTTGTCTGGGCTGTGCTCTAGCAAAGTCAAGTTATTTTCTACTGAAAATTCAAGCCCATTACCATCATGCTGCTCTTCCTTGTCATTCTGTTGCCGGTAGTTTTTAAGTTTGGTTTTGTTAGTCTCTCAGCACTGCCTCGCTGGAACTGTCCTGAAGAGTCTCCCTCTGGAAATGGGAATCCTGCTTGTGTGGGTAAGTAATCCCATTGAAAGGAATTCGCACCTTTCTGGGAGCTGCCCTCAGGTACCTGTTCATTCCTTCTGGTAAAGGTGGGCATCTTTTTCTGATTTGTCTTTGGGTGTGTATGTTTGCTTAATTTTTGTTTTCTAATGCTTGTATAGTTCCTTACTGGCTGTCAGAAGTAATCTGCTGCCGACTATAAAAATTCTCGGCTGTCAAACTGTTCTTCCATGTGTGAGTAAATGTGTCTCATTTTTGACTAGCTGAACATTTCTTTTCATGGAAACCTCTGTCTTTATTCTGACATGAGGAGTAACTAAACATCTAGTCGATCAGATTTTTATTGGAGACTTGGGGAAACATATGGTGCTTTTTTTGTTTGTTTTCAAAACTGTCTATTTGAGGCATAAAAGAAAAGAAAATCCTTCCTCTGATAACTTTGTGTAATAACTCAGAAGTCACTAAAAAAAAAAAAAAAAAACACACAAAAAAACTGAAAAATGGGATTGGAATTGGGAACAAACGTGGTTCTATCGTGAAAGCCAAGCTAAGTTTCACGTTAAACCTCCTCCCTTCCTCCCCGCTCCTGCTGTTTCTGACGCTCTGACACAGTTCCAGTTTTTCAGTAACAGGTGCATTGTAACTTTGAGAACGGCTAAGAAATGTCAATATGCTGCACATGGGTTTTTAATCAAGGAGAAGTGGGGAATTTTACTGAATGCAAAATAACAATCCTGCTTAAGGACCTTGTCTGAAAAGCATCTCTCTCTCACTGTTGACTCATTTTATTGAGTCCTCGGATGGGTCTCCAACCTGCAGCTCAAACGAAGCAGCCAGTCCCATCCATGACAGAGCAATGAACTGATCTGACATTCTTTTCTTGTCATTTTGCCCTTTTGAGAAAGAAATTGGCTTCCAAAAAGAGGTAAATTGAGAGAAACACAGTAGTTTCCAGAAGAGAAAGCTCTGGAAGACGGCACAGAGTAATGGGAATAAAGAGAATAGTTCTGAGCCAAACTGCTGACGTTGGGGTCCTGCCTGGCTCTCTGTGAAGGAAGTCATGGGTGAGGAAGTCAGGTGCTGGTGCTCAGAACCTCAGGGCTCTCCCTCCAGGCCGTACTCACTGTAACAGGTGAGCACAACCCTATGGTATTGGAAGAAAGGACTAAATTCTGATGATATCTGTGGCCTCGGCACCCGGAACATTTCCGCTTTCACATCGTGTATTCAGAAAAGTCTTGCTGAATTGAACGAGGAACCTTCCCTTAACCTGCCAATCACATAGTCCTAGGCCATAAAAACAAAAGGAGATGACGAAAGACTAAAACGACCTCACGAACCTGTTGCTCAGTTGTTGGAGGCAGAAGTAAAAGCTTTTGGATACAGTTATGTCTAACGAGCTGGAGCTTCTCTTACGTGCAAGAATGGTCCCTAGAGTAGTTGGCAAGTGACCAGAGTCAGGCACTGCCAGTTGCATGGGACATGAGGAGATGGTGGGAGCCAGTCAAGAAGCAGATCCAAGAGAGGGAAAACAGAAAACCCCACAGAAATGAACTTTCGCACATAATTTTAGAGTCTCAGAGAACAACCTGATTCCTGCTAGCAAGCGGACCTGCGCCTTGTGCTCTTTGCCACCCCTGCCAGTGGCTCAGAAGTGCCTTCACGAGGTTAGTTGCATGAAATAAACTTGAAGCCCAGGAGAAAGGCAATGAGTTAAGTGGACTGTGTCTTAGAGTGGAAAGAATACAGATTTTAGACGCAAATATACCTCATTTCAGTTCCATGCTACCTACTTAATATTTGAGTTATATTGGAATATTGCAGGAAAACAGTAATACTCCCCTTTCAGGACTGCTGTGCGGGTCACATGAGATACCATGTGAAATGCACCTAGTACAGAGGCTAGCAGGCTGTGCTCAGTAAACGTCCTCTTGGCTCGATGTCTTAGCTAAATCTCTTTGATCAAATCACACTGTGAGATGCTTTATTTGAACAGTGCAGTGACATGGCACAGACCCCACGTGGTATGGAATGTCTGGTTGCTACTTTGTGACTTTGCCTCTTTGCTCCCTGGGTCCTTGTAAGTCACTGGTTTAAACCCCCTACTTTACACTTCACATCTCAGATTAGCTGATAAGTGCCTGGGTCACACCCCATGCCCCCTGCATTTCAGAGGGTAGTATTTCTCCTCTCTAAATAGATATGGTGTCATCATCTATCCCGGTTCCTCCCCCCACCGATTAAATTCTACTTACCTACCTTATTTCTTGCCCTTGGCTTTGAGACAGACCACCTCTGGCCAGCCTATCCTAGCAGAAAGAATGCTTTGTGATCCGAAGAGATTCAGGTAACTTTGTGCAAGGTTGTCACGCATGTGACTGCTAGCCAGACAAACCAAATGATAACACAGAATTAGATTTTCTTTTCATTTCCCCTCTCCCCCGCCCCTCCTGCATTTTTTTTTTTTTAATCTACCGAGTATTCTGTTAGCTTCTATTTGAGCTGCAGTAGGTGAGCAGAACAATAAAGAAAACTGCTGGCAAATGGCTTCTGAACTTTCAAGCCTCTTTGCCCTGGAGGAGAAATATCAGTTGAAAAAGGGAGGGTTCCTGTTTGCTGTCTGTACCTGCATTATTTACATGAACTTTCTTGGTAAATAAAGGGTTAGGAAGAAGTACATGCCAAGCCTCAGAGAGCTGGCTGCAGAAGGGATCCTGGGGCACTAAGCCAACTGGGAGATCACTTTCAGCAGTAAACAATGAAATCACTGATTTCAGCACTGGCTAAGGCTTGGTCAGCTTCCCAGTCATGTGCAAACCAAAGTAATTTCATGATCAGAATCTTGTTTGTTTTTTCAGCCAGGGTTATGCAAAAGGTTTTTTTTTTTAAAAAAATCGAACCACAGAGGAATTACAGAAACGATCTTTTACACATACCATGTAAATGAAACCATCCCCTAGTACCCAAAGGTTTGTGGTATTTGAGGGGTATAGTGTTTAGTGGTAAAGATCTTAAATTTTAGAGACAGACCTGAGTTCGAATCCCATTTTTGCTACTTGTGAATCATGTGTCTCATTTTCCTCACTGTAAAGTAAAGAAAATTACCCCCTCCTCCTAGAATTGTTGTCAGGATTGTGTTAATATGTTTGTTTTCAATGCTGGCTGCACATTAGAATCACCAGTCACTGGGTTCCCACCCAGTCTATTTGGGCTGAAGTCTATCTGGGGGTAGAATCCAGGTATCATTTTCTTTGTTACTTTCCCTTAGTGATTCTAATGGGCATAATTAAGACCACCAAGTTAATACACGTCAGGTGCATAAAACAGAGCCTGACAGGTAATAAGCTCTCCGTAAGTCTTAGCTGCTATTAATATTTTTGTTGTTGTTAGAATTATTTTGATTGGAGAAAATAGTATATGAGTATTTTCTAAGGTGGCTTGGTTTCTTCTATAATAATTGAATTTTTTTATACATAGAAAATGCCACATTGAAAATCCTGATGATAGTTTTACATAAAAAATTATAGTCAAAATAATTTTAACATTCATAACTTGTATTTTTGTAGTCAGAAAAAATGTTTATTAAAAATACAAAGACTTACCTAACTGATTTGAGTAAGTGCCCTTGTGGAAATGCAGTTCCAATGTTTGTCTTTCTGTGACATCAATAGATAAAAAATTCCACTGATGGCAAATTAAACCTGCTTGTTGGATTTCTTACCAATAATAATTTTATTTTAACAACAACAGCAAAAACAAGGCAGTTGAGGGTGATAGTTATTATTTTAATTTCATGTGTATTTTTCCTTATGTTTGGAACCAATTTCTCTAAGATTTTTAAAACCATTGAGGGCATATGAAGAAATGATAAAATAATTCTATTTTTTTTTTTTTTTAGGCGAGGCAATTCTTGGTTGACCTCACAGATTGCAAGGACCTTGTCAGCTTATAATCCCTTATTTTTTATTTTTTTATGCCTATAGCATCTGGTCTTCCTAGGTGGTCTCTCATCCAAGTACTAACCAGGCCCAACCCTACTTAGCTTCCGAGATCAGAGGGATCGGGCTTGTTCAGGGTAGCATGGCTGTAGAGAAAAAATAATTCTTTAAATAAATTTACACTTTTGGGCTAGATGAGGGTTGTTCAAATATATGATGTTTAATTTAGTAATTAGAATGTGAGAAGTCTTTATTTGTGTTTAGGGTAGAGCAAATAACGGACTGTTTCCTATCAAAAGTAAATTAACTAGTAATTTGGCTCAAATTTGCCTTCATAAAAATCCATTTAAAATAATTTTTTGTTTGGTATGAATTTTTTTTTTTTACATCGGTAGTCTTCAAACTCCATTTCATCCATAAAAAAATTAAAATGTGAGTATATACTCTGAATATGTGTTTATTCATCAGTTACTTACACATTATTTATACTACTATTATGAATATTATACAACATATAATAGTTCTAATATTTTCTTTTCACACAATAGTGAACCTTCTTACAGTCTATAAGTGGTACACATCATACTTGGGAGATACTGTTTTAGAGAAATAATAAAATGATGGAATAAATGCTTTATCTTTTTTCGCCATTAGCCCAGCTTCTTTCACTTAAGCATAAAGAGATAAGCAAAAGGAGTGCTTTTCTTTTTTTCCCAAGTAAAGGGGAGTTATTCATAGCGAATGACCTTTCTCAGAGTGTATAATGGAAGAAATAAAAATGCAGTAGAGTTGTGCTGAGATTTTTCCATGAGGATCAGAAGGCCAGATCACATACCTAAGGATGGCTGGAATTCCAGAAACTCCAAAGCTCCATGGCCTGTTGGGTCACTGTATCTTAGGATTTTTAAATAAAAATGGCCTGTACCTCCATCCTATGTTCTGGGCAAACCCAGTGTGTCTCTCCTAAGATAGTAGATTCCTGAGCATGGAAACGATGATGTGGAAGGGAAGGCTCTTATGTCTCTGCTGGCCCTTCTACTGAACTGTTGATTTGCTGTGTGCCTCGCTTCTCTC